TTTTTTTTTTTTTTTACAAACCTTTTAAAAATAATTTCAGGGCCAAACCTGGAAAATAGTTGCCCGGAGGAGGAGCGGGGAAGGTATATTAATGTCTTTTTCTGCAGCTTTTGAACCTCGGATTCCCTTTTTTGTAGGATTGAAAAGACTCCTCCACTCATATCGTTCCAGGCCCCACTGACTTGCTATTTTTATTTTTTTTATTTTTTTTTGTTAACACAGAAGAGGTTCATTAAAGGCCTCCGGCAGTACGGCAAGAACTTTTTCAGGATCCGGAAAGAATTGCTCCCCAATAAGGAGACGGTGAGTATCCCCAGACTTTACATAACTTGGCTTTCACACACACACACACACACACACCTCTCTCTTCCTAAAATGCCTTTCTGCATTCCTCCCATTTGCTGTGACGGAGAAGCCTTTTTAACCCTCGATGGGCCTCGGGACTAATTTTGGGAATTGGGTCTGCTTTTGTAACACCATCCGGAGTTTCAGATCTGTCGGTTGTCGGGAAGTCTGTCCCTCCCCAAACTTCTGGGATCAATCCCTGGGTCAGAAGTGGAAACAGAGTCATAATCAAGCGTTTGGCAAACCCAGAGGAGGGGGAGGGAGGGAGGAGGGAGGGGTGACTTAAAGGACAGCAATGTTGAAAGCTATTTTAGCTGCACCTCAGGGGAAAGGGGGGTCTGGGTTGGGTAGATGTTTCCTCCCCTAAATATTAAGTATTAACCTGGTGACCTCTGAAGCTTCCTCCCCTCGTTATGTATGTATTTAAGATGGACAGGGATTAATATTCATATGTTGCTTATATGTAAGGGTGTAGGTCTATGCGTATGTTGTGTGTGCAGCATGTTTAAATGTGTGTTACACTTTGAGAGCAAATGTGTGTGTACACTTTGAGAGCAAGCGACTGAATTTCATTTTTAATGAGTGCCATTGTGCCCACAGTAAAAAATGACAATAAAGATTTATCTGTCTGTCTGTCTGTCTGCCTACCTTTCATTTCTCTATCTATCTATCTATCTATCTATCTATCTATCTATCTATCTATCTATCTATCTATCTATCTATCTATCTATCTATCTATCTATCTATCTATCTATACCTTTCATTTCTCTCCTTTCTATCTATCTATCTATCTATCTATCTATCTATCTATCTATCCATCCATCCATCTATCCATCTATGCATACCTTTCATTTCTCTCCTTCCTTCCTTCCTTCCTTCCTTCCTTCCTTCCTTCCTTCCTTCCTTCCTTCCTTCCTTCCTTCCTATCTATCTATCTCTACCTACCTACCTACCTTTCATCTCTCTCTCTCTCTCTCTCTCTCTCTATCTCTCTATCTATCTATCTATCTATCTATCTGCCTACCTTTCATTTCTCTCCTGTCTGTCTGTCTGTCTGTCTGTCTGTCTGTCTGTCTATCTATCTATCTATATCTAATCTATCTCTACCTACCTACCTACCTTTCATCTCTCTCTCTCTCTCTCTCTCTCTCTCTCTCTCTCTATCTATCTATCTATCTATCTCTCTATCTATCTA